ACACGATCGAATGCAGCCGTGAAGTCCGTGTATACGGCGTCCACTTGTGAACCAGCGTCCATAGAGCGTATGCAGAGTGAGGTGAACTGAGTGAGGTTAGTAGTAACAGATCGTTTCGGGTAGAATCCATGCTGGGCACATGAAATGTAGTTTTTGGTGGCTTCAAAGAGAGCGTTGTTTACAATTATTTCAAAAACCTTAGAGCAAGCGGCAGTCGTCTAGAGATGGTTCAAATGACACTGGTACCGAAATAGAAACGGTGACGTCAATAGCAGGATGTGGAGTATCGATTTCTACGAGCGATTCAGCCGCGTCGGATACGCAACAGCTTGATAACGCTGAGTCATTCACGAGTACTAAATCGAGAATCCGTGAACTGGAGTTCTTTACAGTATTGATTTGTGTCAGACCCTGGCATCGTACAATGCACAACTAGCATTCGTTAATCTCGATGTATGGGAATCTATTGTGAGGCCACCATCCTCTGATGGTACCCAGTGCATTTCAGGATGATTATAGTCTTCAAACTGGAAAGCAAGGTCATGAGGCCTCAAGCCGGAAAGGATTGAATCAATGGAGTCAGTATGCTACTGTATGAGCGACAGGTCGTCTCTGCAATCAGGTGGTAGATAAAGCACTCTAATGCTGACATCATAGATCCGCAGTTTGATTTTGATCCAAAGCTGCTCGAGAGCATTACTTATCGGAGCTGGATCAATACAGCAACACAATTTAGAAGAGACCGCTATCAACACACCTCCACCACGAGTTTTTCGACTGTTCAAAGAGGTACGATCTGTCCTGAACACAGTGTAAGAGTCGTTGAATAATTGAGTAGACAAGATGCAATCGTTCAGCCAAGTCTCAGTTAGCACGATAACATCATATTCCGAGTCAGTTGTAGCTAAGAAGAAAGAATCTATCTTTGTCCGAAGTCCTCGTGCATTCTGATAGTAAATGCGTAGCTCGGGAGTTGTTGAGGAAGGATTGTCACAAACTTCTCGTCCGTTCCTCGGCAGAATGCAATGAATTTGAGTGGGTGCTGCGTTGCCTGAAAAGCCAGGATGGGAGACCCTCGCCCTATCTCCGACCACAGGGCCGGAACGACTTGGACGGCAGGATACCACAGATGACTGGCAGGAAACGGCGATTGGCTCGACTGGGTCAGAGTGAACCGGCTTCAGTCCATTAGCCAACAACTCTTCTAAGAGGACGCCTGTGTCCATTTCGTATAGTCCTCGCAGGACCACCTTGAACGGCTTAACAGCCTCGTTGTCGTGGGAGAAATACTCCACCTCTGCTTGGTCCAGTATGGTCTGTACCGCCTTGTAATATTTCAACACCGGAACCATCAGTTTGTATCCTTCCGTGCACAGCTTTCATTTTCATCTTTGAGTGGTGGAATGGGTTTTAGGTGCGTCTTTAAGACCTTGGAAACTTTCCAGAATGGTCTGGAGCGGTCGTCCAGATTCTGGACAAGCCACCCGAAACTTTCGTTCGGAGTGAGATCATTCTGAAAGCAATCTCCTTGTTCAGATCGGCCATTTCACGTTTCCTTGCTAGATCTCCGGTTCTCTGGAACTGGCGTTTACAAACATTTCTCAGGCGAATCAAGAGTTGGGTGTGGGAATCAATGGCAATAAACTTACCCCTCACAGGAACTCGTCGGACACACGCCTCGTCAGCCACGGTTATGGCTTGGTGGAGTCCCTCCAACGCTCGGTCGATGTCCTCCACGGTGTCAAGCGGCGGGTTGTCGATGATGCGTCTGTCTACCACGCGTCCAAACTGGGCCCAGTTTACGCGATGGTAGTCCTTGCGCAGGGTTGAAGCAGGAGCCACGTTGCAGTCCAGTTCAGCCACCACCGGTTGGTGGTCAGAGCTGAGTTCGTTCAAGGCTGCCGGCTTGGATAAGCCGATATTTTTCAGGAACAGGTCTAGCGTCGATGGGTTGCCCGCCGGTGAGATAAATGTTGGTTCATCCGAAAACCAAACGGAGTACAGCCCATCCTGTGAGTGGTCGAACAACAGGCGACCGTTCTGGTTCTGCTGGTAGTTCCGCCAGGCCTCATGGCGAGCGTTTAGATCTCCTCCAACTACGAAGCGGGAACCGGTACGGGTTATGGTGGACAAGTCCTTCTTGAATTTAGCCGCTAGTCCACTGCTGGCGGCACACTGTCGAGGGCAGTAGACGGCGATGAACTGGACGTATCCAGTCAACGACTACACCTCCACACCAAGGGCCTCAATGATAGAGGTGCGGATATGGGACAGAGTGTGGTATTGTATTCCTTTCTTGACGACGACCGCAACACCCTCCCCCCCCTGGAGCTGGTGCGATCAAGCCGAATAATGTTGTGGTCAGGAAACCAGAAGCTGTCGCCGGACTTTAGATGAGCCTCTGATAGGAGGCCCACGTCGATACTAAGCTTGCGGAGGAAGTCAGCAAGCTCGAACTTTTTGGCTCGTACAGAGCAAGCGTTCCAAGTGACTATAGTTAACAATTTGGACGCCATACTGAATAATAAACTTACCGAGCACTTGGATCTGTTCGGGCTTGTTGCGGCACTGACGAAGAGCGCTGGTCATGTCGACAAAAATCTTCATCAGCTCATCCGCAGAGAAGAGATCGGGATTGGTGTTTTGTGCTGGTGGTTGTCTCCAGAATCCAGAGGGGATGGATAGCTTTGTCCAGCTGAGGCACCAGACGTTTCTTGACGGGAGCCGGATTGTACCCGTGGATTTGCTTGACCGTGCGGCGTAACACAAAGAGGCGGGAAGTCATCAGTACTGAATGCCGGAGTTTTTTCCTTCTTCCGTCCTGGTTGGCTTTTTGTGGATGCTTGCTTTCGGATCCGCTTGAAATCCTCGCGTTTGGGACACTATTTGTCGGACCCTTGATGAGCTCCACCACAGTTGACGCATTTGCACGTTTCCGACTCGTCGACAAAGCACTCGGAGGAGACATGATTTTGGGCGCATTTGCCACAGCGCGGATCGATGTAGCAGTTTCGGGTACCATGCCCGAAATTCAGGCAATGCTGACACTGGGTGACGTCGTGACGATGATGAAGTTGATGGAGCGGATGGCCTTCAACGCATTGAACGTCACCGTTCCCTTCTGGAAATGTACCAGGAAAAGGCAATCCGGGTACGTTTTTCCGTTTTCGTCTCTCCTCGTCATCCGGAAGACTGCGATTGGGGCTAGCTTGTAATGGTCCTTAAGTTCTTCTTCGATCGACTTGGGGTCGAAGTTCGGTAAGCCCCTGATGACTACCATGAAGGGCTTCTCACCGGGGATGTCATGTGTGAAGTATTCCGCCCTGGAATCCTTCAGGTACTTCACAGTTGCTGTATACTCCGCTTTGATACGCAGCATCACCTTGGTACCGATCCTGCTCAGTTTGAATTCAGCTGCAACGCCCAGAGATGTGAGATCACCAATGAGCGTGCTGAGTGGCACTTTCATCACCACCAGTGGAGGAAGCTTAACTTTTGCCGCACTCGGAACGGCAGAATTTTCATGGTCGACGGTAACGCCGAATTCACCGATGTCGCTGACATTCGTCATGGTGTCACGACCACTCGCACCATCGGACTGGCCCTGATTCTTCTTCCTTTTCTTCGTCCGTTTCACTTCCGCTGGTGGGGCATTCCCAACATCGGTGGGAAGAGTAGCGTAACTATTTGTGATAGGTACGCACGAGCTACCTTCACCACTGTTCTCCACTTTCTCGCGGAGCTTGCTATCACACGATGCGACCGGCACTACGACACGAACAAACGCGCAATTCGAACAACTCGACTGAGCGAGCCAAAACCGGACTTAACTGTTTGACTACTACACTACTCAAGTCTCAGTTGGAACCATAAACGTACATCAACTGAACTGAATGAGTGAAGTGCAAACGATCGACTGAAACGTTGAAGAGTCCTTGAACTGGGAATTAGTCAAACATTGGTTTTCACGCTTTACCTATGTTCCTTCCACCTCGTTTGTCAGCTCAGGTCAGCAAATGACGTTCGATAGAATTATTTAACATCATCGTTTTGAATGATTTGCGTTATGGGGCTGAACCAATACCATATGCATTTCCATTTAGTATGACAATCATTATGTAGAGAGCATTACGCATTTCAGCTGAAGGTCCTATCCCTTCTCATAACAATTTTTATCCTGTAGTCGAGAGGAAAATCATCTGATTTCAAAACAACCGTCATCTGATTTCAAAACAACCGTCATCCGGTTGCAGCTTTCATTCGAAAAAGCGATTTCGATGTTTCGTTTTGAATGGTCTGAGGTTTCATTCGATCAGAGGATGGTGTTTGTGTACAGTGCAAGGGGTGACTGAATGCTTTCGATTACTAATCACATTAGATCCGTTTGCGTTGCGTTGACGTAAATTTGACAATTAGACAATAGATTTAGCTGTCACTTTGCCGCCACGCGTCCGATCCAGATCTAATGTGCGTGGGCCTTAAGTGTTGCAATAATTTCGTGTTCGCCCTTTATTATTTTTAGAAAATTCCGAAACGATCTCTGTGGAAAATCTAAGATGATATTTAAAGGAAATTTGCGAACGTATTATCAGGAGAACTCCAAGGGAATTCAGAAGAGAATTAATAAAATTTTGTTGAAATCATCCTCGTTTAGAGTGCTTTTGTAGACTTTGAGCCAATATTTTTTTCGCTCATTTCGGGTTTTCATATCGCAAAACCTTAATTCAGACAGGCGGATAGAGTGTAGCCCTTCAAGTAACTGCAGTACCCAAGGGTAGCAGGAGCTCAACATCAAAAGCAAAGTTGTGCAGAGTTTTGATTATCTTCGGATAAATAATAACTTCTATATATTATTGATGCTTGTTCAAACTACAGAGTTATAACACCTTATAATAATTATCGACAAGAAGAATTGTCATCAAGTTAGGCTTATAAAACATTATAACTACTCAGTTTGGCCAGTGCTTTATGGTTAGTTGTACTTATCCATACGGTATAGATTCATAAAAGTAAGCAATTTTATTAGATACATATTTCTACAAACGGTCTAAATGTTTCCTCTAAAAAGCTCAAAACAGTTGCTTGTGTGATTTTCATAAAAACATATTTTTTTAATCTATCAGGAGAAAAACAGAGAGATTGAAAGTAGAAGCACCGCCCCGCTCTTGATGTTGAAGATGTTGTTATCAGCGCTTCGTTCTGTAGCATAGTAGAAATAGTCGTTCCATGAAGTAGGCGAAGATTGATGCGTCTAGAAAAGACCTTCGATCTCTCCCGTTTCGGTGTTCAAATCAATATCGAATATCGACGGTCTGGTTGGAAGACCTGGCATTTTGGTGATCTCCCCACACATCGGAACAATGAACCCGGCACCGGCCGACAGACAGATATCGTTTATGACCAGTTTGAAGTCCTTTGGAGCATTTTTGGCACTGGGATCACCGGTCAGGGACATGGCGGTCTTGGCCATGCAAATCGGTAGGTTACCGAAGCCCTGTGAAATTGTAAGGTTTATATGAATTACTTATTATCTATGGACAAACGATGTCACTGTAATATTTTTTGTTCAACCTAAGCCAATTGATCGTTTATTAAATGAACGATAATTAAACGTTGAAAAAGAAAATATAATCAGATCTACCAACCTTGTCGGTGTATAGTCTAATGGCATCCTTAACCTTGGCGGTTAGTTCGATCGTTCCTGCACCGTACATCTCTTTGGCAATTTTCAGGATCTTTTCCTCGATCGTCAATTCCAGCTCGTACAGAAGTTTGAACTCAGATTGCTTGCTACAGGCATCGATGACTGCTTGGGCTAGGTCTGTCGCTCCAGATCCCCCCAATGCCCAGTGATTGGAAACGACGGCAGCGAATGCACCGGCTTGTTTGCAAGCCTTCTTGATCAGGTCATGTTCCGCCTTGGTATCGCTCGAGTGAGCATTGATAGCTACCACAACCGGAACACCATACTTCAAACCGTTGTCAATGTGCTTCAAAAGATTTGGCAGTCCCTTTTCGATCAGTTCCAAGTTTTCCATCGTATACTCCTTACGGAGGGGAGCTCCAGACACAACCGGAGGACCACCACCGTGCATCTTCAGTGCACGAACCGTCATCACCAGAACCACTGCATTAGGTACCTTTCCAGAAGCACGGCATTTGATGTTGAAGAATTTTTCCATTCCAATGTCCGATCCGAAGCCAGCTTCCGTAACGACATATCCCGGTTTTCCAACCAGCTTCAAGGCAATATCATCCGCAATGATCGATGAACAACCGTGCGCAATGTTTGCGAATGGACCTGCATGAACCATCACTGGAGTTCCCTCCAAAGTTTGCATCAAGGTTGGTTCTATGGCATCCTTGAGCAGGACCATCATGGCTCCAGTTACACCCAGATCATCAGCCGTAACTGGCGTTCCATTACGATCGAAAGCGACCACCATCTTGGAGAGTCGTTGCTTCATGTCTTCCAAACTTGTTACCAAGGCTAGGATTGCCATAATTTCACTGGAAACAGAAATCGAGAAACTGGTGTCCCGGATCATGTTCTTCTCAGTTGGAGATAGCCCAATCGTAATCTTGCGGAGATAGCGATCGTTGACATCCAATACTGAAATTCAAAAATAAATTAACTGCTCCAGAAACTGCCGATTACGTGCCAACTTACCTCTGGTCCAAACCACATTATGCGGGTCAATATTCAACCGCGAGAACCGGCGAATTTCCTCCGGTGTCAAGGTATATGGATCGGTCTTTTCAATACCCAAACGCTTCAAACGGCGCAGTTGAATGGCGGAGAACTTTCTCGAACCTTTGATTGCCGGGACCAGCCGTTCGTACAGTGCCTGATCGGTTTGTGTCGCTTCATGGAAAATTCTCGCATCCAGTTGCGCTGCCAGCAGGTTGTTGGCAGCTGTAACGGCATGGATATCCCCAGTCAAATGCAGATTGAAGTCCTCCATTGGAATCACCTGCGAATATCCACCGCCAGCGGCGCCCCCCTTAATACCGAACGTTGGCCCTTGCGATGGTTGCCGGAGACAAGCGACGGAATTGCATCGCTTGTGGGCAGTTAGAGCTTGAACTAACCCTACTAGGGTGGTACTTTTACCTTCACCCAGTGGGGTAGGGGTGATACTGCAGAAAATAATGATTTATGAATGAAATAAACTAAAATTTTGGAATTGTCTTAAGACCTACCCAGCAACGACGACGTATTTACCATCCTCTTCGTTTTTCAAACGGTCCAATACTTTTAGAGAAATCTTGGCCTTCTTATCGCCATAGAGTGAAACTTCCGATGGGATTAGGCCAATTTCGGAAGCCAGAAGAGAAATATCCTTGGGCGTTTGGGAGCGAGCGATATCGATATCACTGGAAAGAGATATTTATCGTTAGTTTCTCGTGAATAAGTCTGATGTTCTGAAATGATGAAATCACGAGTAAGTTAACATTGTTGAGTGCGATTGCCCACAACCGCAAGTCATTCCCATCTGCGGTTAAACATTATGAAGATGCTGCATCTGTTTCAGTACAGTTTTCAAAAGCAGTTATATGTAGGTACCACAGTCCCAGGCTACCTATTGGACATGTTTAGAATCTTTCCACTAGTTCCGGTGATATGGCCGGAACAAGTTCGGTTGAGCATGGACCTTGAGACCAGATATTACCAAAAACGTGCCGAACACATCATGTAACACAACAATTCACATAGAAGAAAATCTACTTCGACCTAATCGCCCTATCGAACACAAAACATCAAATATAGGGGAAATGGATGTATTGTCTGCCTAAATGTCACTAATTTGGGCCCATACATATATTCAGCAATCCAATAAATTTTCAATAGTGACCAAAAATATCCATTAGTACAACCCCAATGACGCGTTCATCTAGATAAAATTGATAAATAGCAGATTTTTAGCGATGGGCCCAATATTAGATCCATTAGAACCTTACAGCCATTTCCCCTATTTATGATTTCGGCGTGAACGTGTCGAACAAACGTTTGGTACGATGCTTCTATTCAATAGCTGCAAGACGAAGTGTTGAAGAACGTAAAATAAGATCTCGAAAGCAAAAGGTGCACTTGAAGTGTTCAAAAGACGCACGCGAATTCACTTTTCTTTTTCTTCTTCTTCTTCTTGTTCGCATTTCAAGCTTATTGCTTAGCGCATATTAGCTTATTGCGTGCTCTCAACTTAATGTTCTAAATGCACTTCCACAGTTATTAATTGAGAGCTTTCGATGCCAATACCAATGCATGAATTTGTATATTGTGTGGCAAGCACAATGATACTCTATGCCCAGGGAAGTCGAGAAAATTTCCAACCCGAAAGATTCCCTCGACCGGACTGGGAATCGAACCCGCCGCCTCCGGTTTGGTAATGCCGTGCCTTTACTGACTAGGCTATGAGGCCACTTTTCTTTCCGTTCGATAGGTCAAAGAGAATCCCAATGGCGTTTCAATGGCTAAAGGGTGATACGGTCAAAATTTGGTCAATATCAACTTGACGTATTTCTTTCAATTTTGCATTTAAAAAACCTGAACACCCCTCATTTTGAAGGTGTGTGTGTGTAGAATGTTGCTCCTATTTTGATTTTGGAATTCACTCTTCAGTTGTCAAAATGCCGTCCAAGCAAGAAGAGCAGCGTATCAAAATTTTGCTCGCGCATCGCGAAAATCCGAGCTACTCGCACGCAAAGTTGGCAAAATCGCTAAAAGTTGCCAAATCAACCGTTACAAATGTAATTAAAGTGTTTGGGGAACGTTTGTCGACAGCCAGGAAGTCTGGATCGGGGGGAAATCGAAAACCGGAAGCCGCTGAGACGACAAAGAGAGTTGCCGGTAGTTTCAAGCGAAACCCTAACCTCTCTCTCCGAGATGCCGCAAATAAGCTGGGTGTATCGTCTACAACCGTGCACCGAGCCAAAAAACGAGCCGGACTATCGACTTACAAGAAGGTAGTGACTCCAAATCGCGATGATAAACAAAATACGACGGCCAAAGCGCAATCCCGGAGGCTGTACACGACGATGCTGACGAAGTTTGACTGCGTGGTAATGGACGACGAAACCTACGTCAAAGCCGACTACAAGCAGCTTCCGGGACAGGAGTTTTATACGGCAAAAGGAAGGGGAAAGGTAGCAGATGTTTTCAAGCACATGAAACTGTCAAAGTTCGCAAAGAAATATCTGGTTTGGCAAGCCATCTGTACCTGTGGCTTGAAAAGCAGCATTTTCATAGCTTCCGGGACTGTCAACCAAGAAATTTACGTGAAAGAGTGTTTGAATAAACGTTTGCTGCCTTTCCTGAAGAAACACGGTTATTCCGTACTGTTTTGGGCGGATTTGGCATCTTGCCATTACGGTAAAAAGGCCATGGAGTGGTACGCCGCCAACAACGTGCAGGTGGTTCCCAAGGACAAGAACCCTCCCAACACGCCAGAGCTCCGCCCAATTGAGAAATACTGGGCTATTGTCAAGCGGAACCTAAAGAAGACCAAAAAAACTGCTAAGGGCGAGCCGCAGTTCAAGGCAAACTGGCTTTCTGCGGCGAAGAAGGTGGACAAGGTGGCTGTACAAAATCTGATGGCAGGGGTCAAGCGTAAGGCCCGGCAATTCGGATTTGGAAAAGCGGAAGCCTAACTGAATATTTTTCCTGAATTTTATACTAATTGAACTTGAAAAAGAAATTTAATTTGATTTTTTAAATAAACGATTTCACCGATTTACACGCGTTTTCCCTTGACCAAATTTTGACCGTATCACCCTTTAATAGGCCCAAGAAAACCCGTAGGCCAAGTTGAGCCGCCAGAAGCAGTTCTGGAGCAACAATAGAAAAGGGCTTAAAAGCAAAATATAAATAATTTTTTTTTCATTAATGCAAAGAGAATGCTTGTTTTCTTTCATTGGAATCCAAAAACTACTCATAACATCTTTTTAAACATAAAAATCACTTATATTATTAAAGGGCTTATATGCACAAACAATTTGTTTGTTGTTTGAATGATTATAGGCCCTACGTGGTAAATGGGCTCAAATTAACTAAGAACCATTTTTGCCAAAATAATGAATTAAGCCCTTTTTATTTTAAGTGCTGAAACTGAATGTAAATTGTCAAACTTTTTAATTACCCAACGTAAACAGCAGTAAGCTGCTTTCTCTGGAAAAAGTGATCGAAAATGGATGTTTTGCTACGTAAGTTCGTAAGTTCTCAATTGCTGTGAGAATTTCGATTTAGATAATTATGGATGTTGTTTTTATTTTGCTTAAAGAGACAGCAGATATTGTTTTCAACGAAAAGCGGAGCTGACTTCAACCATTCGAGTCTTTCGGCCAGCAGAAGTTCTTGTGCAGCTGAAACACCGATACCCAAAGATTATTCTTATTCGGAGATAACGGCAAATGATTTGCTAGAAGTCTCGTTCAGAAACGTTTGCTTGATTTCCGGAAATGATGGTAAGAATGGTGTTACACAAGGCAAACCGCAGCAAAATGAACAGAATGACAGGTCGGCAGAAATACATGCAATTGATAGGCAGCTTAATGCAATCGACGTAGATCATCCCGGAACTAACGCTCTTGACGATGAAGACAGCGTTGACGATAGTGTTAGTAACGGGGAGGCTTACACGGTAAGAAAAAAGTACCCAATATTGAGTAAAAAATTACTCAACGCTGGGTTCTAACACAAATTTTACTCAACTAATGAGTAATATCAGATGTGCTCAAATTTGAGTTATTTTTCAATTCAATAATCATTATTTATTTAATTGTATTGATTTTTAATGTTCTTATAGTTTTGATTTTATGCATGTTTTTTGAAAGTACACCATCAAATAATTGTTAAAAAATCAACTAAAATATTTTTTAATATATTTAATTCAAATCAATCGCACTGTGATTTGAAGCGAAAATAAACTCAAATTTTAGTTAAAATAACTCAACCGGCATGTTCTCACAGTAGAATGAATGGTTGAGTACTTTTAACTTATTTTTGGATGAAAATTGTAACAGCGCTTCGATTATTGGAGCTGCAGCCGTTGCTGGCAGTTCATTGTTTGCGATTGCCTTAGTCGTTCACCTACAGTTAAAGTGATTTTTCGTCCTTGTTAATGATTGAAAAAGTGGCTGGATGCTTGATAGATTGAAGGTAAGTGTTTTTATTCATTCTGTAATGTGAATACTCCCAAATTTATTATGTTGTATCGATCCGTACAGGTTGTAATCAAAGAGCTGTCAATATGGATTGAATAATCCGAAAATACTCGACAGATAACACCGCTAATCGGCTGAACATCCAGACGAGACGGATTTCACGCGGTCCAGTCGAGGCCGATTTTTTCGTCCAAACAGGACCGGTTTTTGTTTCGTACGGCCAATCGAAGATCTTCACAGATGGAAACAAGTGGATGGTGAACATCAAAATGTCCAACGGATACATACAACTTTAGACATTGAGCAGTATTCGTGCCCGAGAAGAGAAAATATTATGGTGTTTGTTGAAACCATCCATCCACATCCAGAGTTTGCTGAACTATGTCAAGAAGAGGGAGTGATCTGCATTAGTGCATCTGAGGTACTGTCTAGATTTGATTTTTGAATAAATGCATTAAATTATATGCCCTTTTCCACAATTTCGTTTCTTCTTAAATTTAAAAAAGGAAAAATATTTCTTCGCTAACATTCTGTTATTTTTCTCCTCCCGACGTTGAGTAAATTTCACCTACTTCGTTCGATAATCAAGTAGGTTGTTTTCACCCATTGAAGCCCAGATCGTAATCACTCAAAATTGAGTTTTCTTGTTTAACTTAATTTTACCTAGCCCCATTTAATTTTGGGTACTTTTTTCTTACCGTGTAAGCTGTTGAATGATTTTTTCAATTAACCACTTCATTCGAGCAGTTAAAATGACTACCACTCGAACTTTGAAATAAAACATAATTTTGAGATTTTTTCTTCTAGAACCACTAAAAAAGCAGCCAACATTTGTGCGTTTCATAAAAAAAATAGAAATTAGTTGGTCCAGTTTTGTGAAATCGCTGGTAGAAAGTCACGCCAAAACTGCTTGACAAAGTGGTCAATTATTGAATATTTTGAACCATATCGTATCGATTCGGTGATTGTGGGTGATTCTGATTCTGAAGATTTACTAGGTAAGTTATTAAACTTTTCATTGAACAACTACGTGTTTTGTTTTTATTTATTCAAATAGAATGCCCTACAGTCAAGACTGATGCCGAGAATGGTGCGCCTAGTTTAGATTTTGGATTTGAAGAACTGAACGAGCGCCACATGATAAAAACTAAAAAACGTACTGCATATTACGATATTGTGAATAACAAGAATCTTAAGGTGAATCGCTGTGACAT